TTACACACACACACGCATATATATATATATATATATATATATATATATATATATATATATATATATATATATATATATATATATATATATATAATTAACTTATAATATTATAAAGTATAAGGGTTGAATTTTAACTTTTAAAATTCTAAGGGTTGGAACTAAAGTTTTTAATTAAGACTTTACTTGTTCCAAAACTTGAGGAAAAGTTTTGTAAACTTTCACAACTTTTCATTTCTTGTAACTTATGAATTAATTGAGTCGTAAAAATGAAGACTCTTCATTTTTTATAACTCTTGTGTTCTTTTAATGGCATTAATAAAAGTGTGACTTTTGGTTTTCCATAACTTGAGGACAAGTTATGGACTCCATTAAAACACATTATGATCATGAATTAAACTACCATAAAGGTTACAAATAATTCCTATGATCATCTAATCTTCATAAGTTCAAGAACATGAATATGAACATTTCAAGAATCAAAAATTACGCTTAAAAAAGTTGTAATTTTGATTGTTGTCGTTGCAAATGGATTAGCATAAACATTACACCATCTAAAACAAGTTTTCAAGTACCAAAACAGTTTAGGGTAATGTATCTAGTCCATTTCCAGCAACAAAGGTCGAATTTCTGAAAACTGCAGCCTCTACTCGTCGAGTGCAAGAACAAACTCGACGAGTAGCTTGCATTTGCACATGGACTCGTCGAGTCCCCCCCATGGACTCGGCGAGTTCATACGAGCAGAAAATAGAAAAAAGATTTTTTTACAACAGTTTGCAAAAAAAAATAACAAACAAGCCTAGGCTCTGATACCACTGATGGGTTTTGAGCATTCTAACACTTCCTAAGTGTACTGCAACCCTAATAACCTTGGATCTATGTTTGTCTAATTATCATGCAAAGTTGAATTCCAAGGTTATATTCCTATCTAGCATACATGGGGAACAATATTTAACTTTAATGGAAATAGAACAACTTACCTTGTTATTGCTTGTGATCCTTGAAACCTTGTGAGCCTAGCACCCCAAGTGTGATGCCTCAAATGTTTAATAAAACACCAAATGCAAAGGAGTAAACATTTCAGAGAATCTTACACTTGCAAAAATCAACCTAGCCCTCACTTGTTCATGTTTGTCCCCGATTTTGGTGGAGAATATGATCCTTATATAGTGTTGACACATCTACGGTTACACCATGTAAACCCTAATGTGTCATGACTCTTCATTTTCATGACCCATGGGTTTGTAACTCCCATGGAGCATCTTATGGGTGGAACCCAATTTGATAATTAATGGAGCCTCTTAGCTCACTATACAAGTATGTATGATTTACATAATCAACTCATATATTTAATTAGTTATCTTTGATCATTTAATTAATTCTAAATTAATTCTTGATCAAACTAATTAAATAATATTATTGATATATTAGAACTTATAATATATTAATAAACCACAAGTGTTATTTCTCTCATTTAGTCTATCCAATTGCATGGTGCCATGCAACCCAAATGGACCATGTCGGGTCGGGTCAAGTACATACCAGAAATAGTTATAGACTTAGACACCTTATCCAACAGATGGAACCTCAAATTCTCGACATAACTTTCCACTCTTCACTTTCACTCTCATCGCCGGAACACTCTATTCTTGACACTCATCTGTATACTCGTCGGTATACTACCATTGGACCACCGATGGCGTTGAAGGTGGCGGCATTATGGTAAGTACTTTAAAAGTTGATTTCAGATTGAGAATATATTATTTATCTTTATTTTGGTTTGTTTAATGTTAATTGTGTTATTCGCTTATAAATTAAGAAATTTTTTTAAACAAAAGGTTAGTGGTTGATTATGAACAAGTTTCGATATAATCAATTTAATTCTTATTAAACACATAGTCTTCAAAAAATGGTTAGTGGTTGCTCAATCGAAATGTAATTGAAATTTATGACGGTAAAAATAACAATTTACACTAAAAGAAAAGAAAAGTTAAAGTGTATATAATTATTATCAATATTATGTGGTCAGGATTGAAAAGTGTATGAAATGCGATGAGTTTGATTTAAAAGCTAAAGTTGTCATTTTGTATTTCACAAGGCTTAAATTGTAAATTGCCAAAATATATTTTGCTGAAATCTTTGTTGAATCTTAGGCAGTCAAATGTAAATGCCAACTACAAAAATATATATTTTCAATAAAAAAAAACTATTTGATTTTTCCTTCCTAATAAATAAAAAAAAAATTGTCACTTGTTAATTTCGTATGCATTTTGATACATGTAATTTTGTAGTTAATTCATAGAAATTAATTTCTAATTGTTATTTTGTGGTAATTTTTTATTTTCTTAATTAACTATCTAATTTTTAAATTATAGAATGTAATTAATATGTCATTAATTTGTTTCCATATATTTTCAAATTTTAATATGTTCCTTCAATATATATAATTCAAAATTGATATGTTTTTTTTAAGTTCATTGTTATTTTAGGCAAAATGGTCTATATAAAAAAATAATCAAACCTTGTTGTTTTTTATTGATAAACAAAAAAAAAATTATGTAGTCAAAATATAATTATTTTTCTATAGTTTGTTTTATTAATATAAATTAAATTATTTAGTTATTCATCATTTTGTTTGTATATATATATTTTAAATAATACTTGATGTTTACACTTTAATATTTAATGTTTTCTTTAAAAAATATATATAAATCTATATCTTTATATTAGGTTATAACCCGTGTGGAACACGGTTGACAATAAAAAAAATTATATAATAAAAAATATTTTATCTAATCATTGGCAAACAAATATTTGCATATAACCTTTAAAATTAACACAACAAATTATGATACAAGTAACCCAAAAACTATTGGTAGTTAATAAATAATTTACCATTTTCATACCAAATAACCCAAAAATTAATAAAATTAAGAATTTTTAAAAGATTAAAAGTGTTAACAAAATAATTTGCATGGCAATATAATTTTATACCAAATAACCTAAAAATTGCATGGCAATAATTTTATATGAACTCTAATACATATTACTAAATACTTAAATTAAAAGGTAATATATCATAATAATAAATTGATACAAAGAGGAGAAAAAGAGCATATAGGTTTCGACAAAAAAAATCCAAAGTTTCGATGATATTTATAATATTATTTTTTTGAATAACAGTTTTATTATTATATTTACAGACCAGGTAGTGGTTGGAAAATAGTGCATATACAATTAAAATATTAACTTCACCAATTTTAACTGAATTATAATTCATTAAATGAAAAATTAGAATGCTGAAAAGTCACACACCAATTAAAGTTTGACTTGTAATGGAAGCAAGATGCTTGAACCACCTTGTACAGAACTTGATCTTTGATTTTAGAAAACTTTAGGCACCAATAGCAACGTAATTTTCAGGAGCTTTACTACAAAAGATATGCTTGTAATCAATGAGTAAACCAAAAATAACATTTTAATTTCTTAGGTAAACCAGAAATAATATTGTACTTTCATGGGAAAACCAACAATAACATTATACCTTAGGTATTAGGAGACCAAACATCAAAACGGGTGAAAAAAAAAAGTATGAATGAGTTAATGGCTCTTGCCACTTGAGCTTATCTCTTTTCTGAGAAATTTGAAACATTTTGTATAGCCATGTATTTTGATGGACTTCAAAACTTCATGTTGAAAGCTATTGAACACCACAGGTAAATTTGCATAAAAAACTTGTGATCATAACGTCAATGAAATATCATTAGGATCCAGTCATTGCAGTGTTACCCCAAAAAACTGAAAACCTTTAAACATCAATGAAACATTGTGTGAAGTATGATTGTTTGATATTCCTTTAATCTTCTTCTATAGGATTTTTTTTAGTCTAATGCCATTTCAAACAAACCAATCTGTTGTGACTACACTAACAAATTATAAAAAGTAAAGCACAAATTGAAACACACCCCCCTAGCCATATACACTAAAGAAGTTTTGCGACAACAATGTATAATTTTAACCCTATGCCACTACCTAATTAATATAAACACAACGCCTTTTCCTTTACCAATACCCTTTCGGCCTCCCCCTGTATTTATCAGTTGTGATAAAAGGTTTCTTAATAGAGAGCGTGAATACCTATAGAAGAAAATTAGATGTTCAAATATTCTGCAGAATGGTAAACTAATTAATAAAAAGTAGATGAAATGATTTAGACATTCCCTCTTTTGATTTCTAAGCTAAACCAAATAGTTGTGAGGCTTGGGTGTTAAACTGATAATAGTTTCAACATGGGATGTTTGTTATATTCTTTGAACCTTACCTTGAGTGCCATTACATATTATATCCAAAAAAATCATTCGACCTTTTCACCATCAAGGGTAGCTAAAGTGATAAAAAAATTTAATTTGGAATCACACAATCTAATCAACCTTTCTCATCCGACCCATCAATACATCCCTATATGAAAATATGCTTGTTAGCTTTACATTACAAATTAACTTATAGGATTAAGTAAATGAATTTTTCTCTTCAAGTTTGGTTTAAGAATCACAGTTACACAAACTGACATATATAAGCAATTGAAAATCACTATTCTGTAATCTTAGACATAACTTTATGGATAATACCCAACATAAAGTCGTTCATTTGACCCTCACATTTTCAGGTCACCACAAATCTCATTTACAATCTCCTTGATTCCAAGGTCTTTAACCATCATCTTTCTTGAAATTTTAAACCCATAAAATTCAAACATGTATAAGAGGTTTCATAGAGAGAGAAGGGTGGGATATATCTTTAGCGTTCACAATGTTGACAATTAAATCAAAATCAAAATTATGGCTCTAAAAAAACCTTTTGGCTTCAAGAAGAGTAAGCGTAGAATATCTTTATTAACAATGTTAAAATCAAACGGCTTCAGATGGATTATATGTAATCGATGTGCCCCTCATTCTCATCAAGAAAGCAAATGATCAGATACTTGGTTGGTAAATGAAAATCCATGACCGTAAAAAACAAAAATAAAATAAAAAAGCTTGAACACTGAAAGGGAAATTTAAAAAAATAATAATAATAAGAGCTTGAACACAAACTTTCGTATACATGTAAAGTACAGTAATCAAACCTCAAAATTTTATGAAAGAATTCCCAAAATTCTTGAAAACGCTTTCACCTATGGTTCATTGGGACACCTTCAAAAAACCAAAATCATAAAAAAAAAAATAATAAATAAATAAAAATTGAAATCATAGACAAAAGAAATAAAGTTAGCTAACCTCAAATATAACCATGGGAAGTGAGCTTTCGATTTTAAGCATCATGTTCATGTTTGAAGAAAGAGAGATGCCAGTGGGGATTTGACTCTGATTAGTGTAGAGCAAGAAAAAAGTGTAGATGATTTTAAATTTGAATGTAGATTAGGGATTGAGAGAAAATAGGAACGTATAAATTTGATTAGTAGATGAAAAGTCGTATAATTATGCTACAATCACGGTGATTGATAGAATCAATTTCAAATTATGATATAATCTTGCATAATAATATGGATGAAATTGGAGTACGCGGGAAACCAAAAGGCAGGAGAATATAAAGAGGACACGTTACATTTTAAGGTATTAAAAAGTTTACACATGGCAATTTAAGATTCATTTATTAGAAAGGATAGAATAGATATGATTTTTTTAATCAACGGTATAGTATACGGTTTCACACTAGTAAATTAATATCTAAAAAATAGATGTCTTATCAGTATTATCCTAAAATAAACCGTTTGAGTTACGACATTATCACTTTCCTCAATCACGAAGGTATCATATAGAGTCCACTTTCGTCACTTGTGGAGTAACTAAAAACGAGAAGTTTGAGATCATATTTATCTCTTATCGCGAAGTAAGTTTTCTTGATACTCTTTGATGCCGCCTCACTACATTTTTTTGTGTATAAAACAGTTAAAAGAAAGGAAGAATCTTCACCTCTTTTGATAACCATTGCATCTTTCTTCTCAACGTTTTTTAAGCTTAAATTATTTTAAGTATAATCATTGCATGTGACATTTTACGTTGATTTGTTTAATGTTTAAAGCTTAAATCTATCTGAACCTAAACCATTGCATATGGATAGTCTATTTATCAACAACTTATCTCTAACTAGATGGAATTAGGTGCGCCGTTGGCGCTGTGTTTCTTTTTCCTTTCAGGTGCTTATATGAGTTAATGCATGTAAGATAAGAGAGTTCTGATGTGGCTGCAAAAGAGAGTAGAATGTGCGACTTGGGTACAACTTATGTCCTTGGAAACCATGTAAATGTGACCAAATGACCAATTTACCTTTGCATTCCATAAACCAAATGTCATAATATCGGTCAATTTTAACGTGAGTGGAGTTGGGAGAAAAAAAACAGGAGAAATAGGTAAATGCATAGTATCTTAATACATTACACTGAGTTTTTGGCTTAACCTATTAAGTCATTCATTTTAGTCCATATTAAGTAAAAAAACAATAAAATACATACACAGCAGATTATTTATCAAGATTTTTAGTAGAAAAAGAAATTAAATATTCGTCTTCACTATATAACATTACCACATAACAATAAACTAAATTTGCATGCAATAGTCCTCTCCTTAGCAAGCTATTATATCATGCAACAACAGAAGAAGAGAAGATTCAACTATTGAATCATTGGGTTATAGAAAACCATCGAATTGAAGAATATATATTATAATTTATAAATAAGAAGGGTAAAAGAGATACTTGAGGAGTACGTATTCAATGAAGCAATAACGTCGACTTTTCTCCGTGTCTTCTAGGCAGTGCACAATAACCAAAAAGGTTTGATGATGCCTCTTGTAATTGCATACTGGGCAAGATGAAGCAGCAGGTTACAATTATTTGAGAGATTACACACTAGCGGTGGATGAAGAACATATTGCCAAAAAACAGAAAAAAAAAATTGTGAATTCAAAATACATTGCTATTTTAGTGCATTTAACACCTGAAAATGGAAAATGCACGTAATGGGAATGCCTTTTTTTTTGGTAAAAAAAATCAAAAAAAAAATGTAAAAAACAGGGAAAAAAAGTGTAAAATCAGAGTACATTGCTATTTACTGCATTTACCACCAAACTATGGAAAAATGCACCAAATAGCATTGTACTTTGGTTTTTGATAATAATGAAATAAATTGCAAAATCAAAAAACAAAAAAAAATGTAAATTCAAAGTAAGTTGCTATGCATTGTTGGTTATTGGTAAAAAATCAAAACAATTTTCAAAAAACAGAAAAAAGGTGGAAAGTCGAAGTATATTGCTATGTTAGTGCATTTAACACTTAAAAACGGAAAATGCACGTAAAGGCTTTTGGTAAAAAAAACATAGAAATGTATTAGAGGTAGTGGTGCCGTTGGTGCTACTATGTTTGGAAACAGAAAGCTGGAACTAATTTCTACATTTTAATGAGAAAATGAAAAAAAAAACATTTAGTCAGTAAATAATGAAAAATTAACAAAATACCAAAAACAAAATGGTCCATTCCATTCCATCTCGCAATTAAATGAACAGTTCCATTCCTTCCTTGAATATTTGAAGCAGGAATCTCAAACAATTTGTTCATGTCATCTAGTATGGCCTCCGTTATGAATTGCAAACATTAAAAATCACAGTTTTCACTGTTCTTAACAATCATGTTTGCATCAATTAAATACAAAAAATCAACAGAACTTATAATATTAGTTTTTGACAGCACAAAAACATACCAAACAACCAACTTTAAACAGTTGTAAATTAAGTTGCTGACTTGCTGCACCTTCCTCTTGCATTCGACGGCATGTTTGAGTCGAGAATGAACAGATCTGGATATATATATATATATATATATAACTTCAGTTATGCGGCTCTAAAGATGGCAACTATTTTAAATTTCCACCCTATGAAAAATTTTCCATTTCCAGCTTTGTGTATAATATTTCCTCAACTTTGAAAACTTATAAAATGTTAATAGCAACTCACATTTTGTTGATTCTTTTTCCTATGTGCTATTTGTCGTAACGATTACAATATACAAGAAATAATAAATTGATTGGCTTCATTTATGATAAGGTTACATAGCCTCGAAATAGCTTGTTGGCTATACTTTACTATAATTCTGCAATTATAAAATTAACCAATTTAATGCTTCTTTCTTGATAAAGAATGAGTATAATACCATTTCAAAAACTTACCGAGTGGTCTAACATGATATATTTGTATAACTGAACATGAAAGAAGATTAGATAGAAGTTAACAACAACAAAAAGTCTTATAAGATGGAGAAGGTAGCATGCATTTGTACCTTCTTGTGAAGATCATACATCATTCGAACCACCTGCTGGTCACGGGCATAAAGATGCCGGGTGCAATTGGAGTCCAAGCCACGCATGTAAGAAGTTTGTGCTGATGTGCTGAGGTCGGATTGTAAAGCCGCAGGTAAAAAATGTTGAGCCAAAAAACAATGACATATAAAACAACAGATGTAGCTGTAAATTTGATAATAAAAAGAAAACTTCACCACCAAATTGAAGCTAAATAAAAGAAATACCTACATTCTTCCATCCCTGATTGAATAGCATCCATTAATATTTAATTAGTGATCTGAAATCAAACCGTGAAGATAGAAAGACGAAAGACGGTTGATATGTTAAAGCAACTGAAATATATCAACTACGCAACCATAGTTGTCGGAAAGCCATTATCGATAGTTTCCGGAATCCCGGTAATCGGAAATTTAACACCTCTTCTTCTAACTTCCTGTATAAATACAAATAAAAGGTTTACACTTTTCCTCATTAAAAAAAGAACTAATTTTGTTTCCATCTTGTAGATTTTAAGAAAATTATGAAACAAACTTCGTAAATTATCCACCCTGTATGTATCTGAAGTCAAGTAGTATATAATTAAGATCATACCCATAATATTTTATTTTTTATGAAGGAAACTAATGAAAATTAAAGATGTTTTTACTTACTTCAATCCCTTCGATTCTTGCAATTCCACACATAGCATGCAAACTGCAAAGTATTTCTGTAAGATGAACATCATCTGATTTAAAATACATCTTTTGGCAGGGTACAACACGTAAAAAATGTATGGCTTGGGGAGTATGGACATGAACTATAATCTGTTAAAAAAAAAAAAAAAAAGATGACATAAGAACATACTATTAAACTATGTTAATCATAAGATAATAATACTTCCAATGGAATGAGCCATTCCATTCCCACATCGATTCCATCATATTAGGCATGGCAATCACATATGGACAAAACAGAGTAAAACATACCCCTTCATGTTGACTTTGGAATGGATTTCCAATTCCAGATCGCCATTGTATTCCAGGAACTCCAGAAGGTGATAAAACACCCTCCCTGTCACACCACCACCCTCACTACTCTCCCCACCACCAACACTTTCACTGGTTTTGGCAACTTGTGGTAATACCATTCTACTACTTAAAGGAGAAACCAATGGTTGCACCATTCCACTCCTGGATGCTTCTGAAAATGGAGTTGTCAAAGATCCACTGCTGGAAACACTCATTCCGGAGGTGACTGGGAATTACTCGACATCATTATCAGGCATCTTGTAATCCCTGGCATCAACAACCAGCAATTGTTTAGTAAATTTTCTTGGAGCTTTAAACTTCATGAAGTTCTCTCTTCTTTGATAACAAAGATACAATTACTTTCTTCTTCAAAAAGAACCTCTGAAATTTCACATTTTTGAATTTTATGAAAAAAAAATGTTGAATAATGTTTTTATAAAAAAAATCTTCATTGTATATGTCACTGAATTTGCTGCAACCTTAGGAGACATATGGAAATGATCAAACTGCCCTAAAGAAAACAGTAAGCATCAGTTGTATTTGGTAGGTCTAGTAGCAAACATGTCATGTTATAACTTATATAGGGCTTGTCAGGCTGCGCAAATTCAATACCTGACAATAAAAATTAGGAATTCCAATAAAACAGTAAGAGGGTAAAAATTTCTTGAACTTACTCGAAATTTGAAGGGCTTGATCGTCATTTAACTAAGGCGCAAACCCTTTAAAACCATGTTTATAACTATACAAGTGAGAAGCTTTTGCTTCTTCAACACAAAAAAAAAAAAAGTAAAAACTCCAAATTATTTCAAAAACCCTATTCGCGAAAAAGATGAGAGAAAGAAATGAAACGATTAAGACTAACTTCCGTTATGAAAAGAAGTCAGGATTTGATAGTTTCAGGTGAAAATCTGATCCAGCTCTTTGTTGTCGGAGCTACTCATGTAGTCGACATACACCTGAAACAAAATGAAATTAAAGAAGAAGAAAAGTAAGAAATGAATTACATGTGATATAAGTCAATACATAACCTTATTAGCAAAAATGGAGATTGTAAAATGTGCGAGAGATTCTATACCCTCTCTCCTGCATCCCACCATTAAGGGGGCTATTTTATGCCTGTAAAATATCAAAGATATCAAAATTAATAGACACTTAATTAAGTGTCACCAGAAACATAGGTATGTAGGAATCTTAAATTGACATGGAGACCTTACAATTTTCTCCAGTGTTCACCACCACTGCCATGTCCTATTTTTTTGTTCCGCTCACCACACAACAACATAGGGGGAGTCTGGCCAAATCTACCTAACACTACTTTTGTAAAAGAGAAATTAAACAACAATTCGATGATTATCTCAAATAATACAGTTCACTGAAATCAAAACATATACAAAGAAGAGGAAAGGAGGAAAAAGCAATGGTACCTCCATATTTGGCAGCGTCTTACAACACATTGGCTCTCCTAATCACCTCATCTTTAAAAAAAACTTGAGTTGGGCATTTTATCGAACACGTGGTATACATAACGAAATACAATTACAAGTAATAACAAATTCTTTGAACAATGTATCAGTTCTTGTTTAGACATTCCAATTATCGCTTCTTTACAACATAGATGGCCTATAATTCAAAAATTTATTTCTTTATATCAAGAAAGGTTAAAAATAACAATACAGAAGAGGGGGAAGGCATGACGAGGCTTACATGATCTGCTTTCTTTCTCAAACCTTCTTTTTGCAAATCCTGCGAAAACAAAATCCAAATTCAACATGTTCAATATCTTCAAATTAAGTGGAAAAGTGGAAATAGAGCGTAATTAGGTTTTAAGAAAAGAAAATTAGTGAATTTATAAGAAGTTATCAGAGGAAGGTACCTACAAAGTATACGACACAAGCTCCACTGTCGGGTCCGTCAGGTCTTTTGTTGCAAGCTTTGAAGACGACATTCCATCAGCAACTAATCGAAGCTCAGAACGATATGGTCAGATTTCAAACACCGGATTTTGTTATTGGGTAAGAAAGAGGTAGTGAAGTGGCAATCCGTATGGCGGTATTCCATATTTTGCAGAGCGATGAGAAACGAAATTAGACGGACGGAAGTAAGAAGGAATTGAGAAGAAATAGAGATAAAAGGAAAGCAGGAGAAGGCATGCCATCCCATTGGAAGGCGATGGTGGCGAGTGGAAGATAAGCCATGTTGACAGAAACCACCACAAACCTTGTAGATCCACCTTCTTCGTACGAAGGGACCAACGGAGCAGCGAAGAGAGAACGAAAAGTTTTGTGCAGGTCAGGTCAGGGAAGATAGTTATAGAAGCGAAAGGAAAACTACTGGAAGAGGAGGAGGCAAGGTGGGAATCGGTAACTGCAACAAATACTATTCGTCTAAAGGTCGGCAAGGCGGTAAGAAGATAAGGATGACAAAAGATATGATAACGAAGGAGGTAAGTGTAGCATTAAAAAATTATTGTGGCAAATGTATAAAACGGAGAGAAATATGTGGCAGAAATCTAAATTCCAAAACTTTTCTGTTCATCACCTTTTAGGGATTAATAGTATATATAATAAAGCCACAACTATAGGATTTTTTTCTTTATATGTTTATTTATTTATGAAAATTTTATTATTTTTTTATATTTTGTTATTCAACTAAATGGTGACATGTATAATATTTAATAATTATTTAATAAAATTTATTGATATTTCAAAATACTAATATGAAACATGTTATCATTTAAATGAGTGTAAGGATTTATAGGAATAAAACCTAAAAGAATATTTAATTTCTATTTATTTATTAGTTTATAACCTGAAATTAATTAAATTTTCATAGTAAATTTTCATACTTATTAATCAATTATTTTAAGTAAATAATTTTAAATAAATTATTAATTAAGAGATATATACCAAAATTTTAATATTATTTATAAAAAATCAAACCAAAGGGCTTCTAACCTAGCGGTACCGGATGTTGATCTCTCTCATAGATGTTGAGGATTCAAGTCCCATTGGAGACTTAGATAATATTAGGAGTAGTTTAGGAATAATGTAGATTTACCGTTCTAAAAAAATTATAAATGTAAATTTAAAATATAGTTAAAAAAATAAACTTTTCTTTAAAAAGATTAAATTCTATTATTTGAAAACATTATCGTCATTAATTATAATAGTGGTTTGTCTAATATGTCTTCGAGACATGTAGCAAAATATTAATGAGAACTTATATTAGAGTGACAAATGTTATAAGAATATTAAAAATATTTTTTTATTAGTATAGGGATTCGATTTGTATTAGAAATAATAATTATTAATATGATACAAATGGTTTTTGCCTATTAGAATGCCTACATGTTGTTTTAAAACTTTCAATATTTGCATGAAAAAATTTCTAAAGTATTTTTTTTCCTAAAGCATGATTTTATTTTTTAAAATGTTTTTGCCATTTACAAAATTGATATATTCACATTTAAGTTGGAAAAAAATGAATAGTCTCCAAAAAAAATCATTTATTTTAAATACGATATATTGAAAAGGTAAAGGAGGTTATTTATATCTTTGTGTGGTCGATTTTCAAAATGTTATGCACCTACCACCATCACCGATTTTCATGTTCGTATTTGTAACATTTGATTTTCAACAATTTTTTTAAAAGTAAAGCTAGCCAATTAGAAATCTGTTATGACTAAATTCGTTTATTCCAAATATATTTATTGAAAATTAGAGTAATATTAAAACGTGGAATCCTTATTGTTGTTAATGAATTTGTACAGTCACGTCTTCGCCTTCCTATGACTACCGATGATATCTGAAATAATAAACAACTGGGTAAGCATAAAACATAATGATTTTCCCCTAAAATACCCCATACGCTAAATATACAATCATGCATAACAGCCCACAACCTTCTGGTAGGAATGCCTAGGGCCAATCAGTCCTCGGACTGAAATGGCAAGGGTTTGTTGGCCTACCGCCTCAACCCAACCGCTCCTCCCGTGTCTTCACGCCTTCGTCTTACAACTGGTTTGAACTGGGTATCATGGTCTACAGCATAAAACAGGACCGCCTCAACCCACTACCACGATATGTCAACATATAAACAATCAAGGATCAAGCGGGCACATAATATAGGCAAACAACAATCATACAGATCAGTACTACCTACTAGTCTTCTCACAACATATATTCTCGCTACCAACTAACCTCCATGAAATGTGTAACCATAAGTAACCAGAGGTGAGATAACCACCAGAATAGATGATCCTACTCTAGAGCCACAACCAAATTAGGAATAGGCAAGAAAGCCTAAATCAAGAGTTCTTAGGCTATCCTACATGACCACATACAGTCTCTAGGGAACTCCACTAGATGATAAAACAAAAATTACAGGTAGATATATAGATCTACAAATCACTACCGCACAACAACAACCTATATATTGGGATATAGATCTAACAGATCGCTACAACATAGCAACATCCAATATACCAAAATACAGATCTAACATATCAACATCCTATATACTAGGATACATATCTAACAGATCAATATAGCATAAGTTCATACTAAATAGCAAAAATCCAAAGAATGTATAACCGTATATACTCAGAGGTGAGATAGACACCTGGACATGTGATCCTACTCTAGAGCCACAACCAAACAAGGAATGTGCAAGAAAGCCTAGATCAAGAGTACTCAGTCTATCCTACATTACTATATACATTCCTTAAGGTATCCCTCTACTGAAGATAACCAAAACTATTGGGCAGATATTGGTGCCTTTGACCCACGGTACAATGAGGCGAAACTCACCTGAAATGAAGAAACCTGCAAAACATTGTGATACGCTCCTGCTACACTACTTTCTCCTACGGTTCCACTAACAACAGGGCCAGATAAAATCTTAATCACCAGTCAAAAACCTCAAGTTTGACCTAATTTTAAACTTGGCCAATGTAACACTCGATTTCAGAATTGCTTCGTTTCTTGGGGATGCGGCCCAACCATCAGTTGTCATAAGGCTTAGGGCTTCAGGAAAGGAAGTATTTGGTGCATTTCAGATGTGGGTGTCATGGTATGAGTGATCCAGTATTCGATTGTGTCTTCGGAAGCCAAGGGTATAATTATAATTGGATATCTCGATCTTTTATAGATTTTGGTTTGGGAGGTTTTAAGGCTTGGTTGTGTTATTAGGAGCGTAGGGCTTCTCGCCACCTTTTCGTGGATATAAGGTTTATTGGAAACGGACATTTGAATGAGGGAGTTATGGTATTTTGAAGATATCGGCAATTTTGGTCCACAATGGAAATACTTGGCAAATCAGTCCCATACATGTAAGGGATACATGCACATGTTTGGCTGGGTACGCCCAATGTACGTGTGGAAGATGGACGCAGGACTCAGAACTGTATGTCCATCGTAGTGTTTTGATTTCCAAAACCCTAATTTTCATGCTTGTCTCACTATTTAAGCGCCTTAAGTTCTAGGTATGAGCCTCCCTTTCATCCTCCATTGCCTTAAACCCTAATTTCGAGTTGTAGCTTCATCCAAGAGTGTTGTTAGCCTTATAAGTGAATTTTTGATGAATTCTAGTGTATTTCAAGAAGTGGTAGTTTAGTGCAAGGTGGTGGTTCAAGGAAAAGATTGTGGATCGGGATTCTTTGCTACATTTTCAACTCATTAAAGGTAAAAAGTTCTTAGCTTGATCATTAGGAGTTGAGATCTATGATTATATGGGTTTTTGGTCCCATTTTGACCCCATGGGTGAAATCTAATGGTTGGACACCACTTCGGTTGCTTTGAGTTACCCACTCTTAGCAGATCCAAGGTTATAAGTTTATAAAAATGCTTGCTTGGTTATTAGATAGGGTCCATGCATGTTCTAGATGGATTAAGATGAGTATTATTGGGTGCTTAGTGAGTTCCCCAAATACCACATACCATACATATCAACATACTACCTAGCATATATGGGTGCTGGCCTACCCCTTTAGGTCTCTTTCAACTGGATACTGTCTAGCATATAAACACATACTCATATACTCTCATACATAACTATGAGCCATACATATATCATAATTAATAAAGATGCTATGTGCCCAACATAGTCTTTCCATTATGCCACGAGTCACCACGTGGTCTTTCTTGCCAAGCTGGTGGCTACCCCTCGGTCTCACAGATAAGTGCGAAGAGCTACCTCCTGGTCTTCCATTCAAGCATCACAAAGACAACTAGCATACATACTACTCTACTTAACTAATCAGCATATAGTGTTCTAGGAGCCACCTCCTAGTATTTCATACATAATAGCCTATAGTGTGCCAGGAGCCACCTCCTAGTCATACATACATATTGCCTAGGGCTAACCCCTGGGTCTTCCTAACATACTGTGTGATAGGAGCCACCTCCTGGTCTTTCATGCAGAATGCCTGGGGATAACCCCCGGGTCTTCCTATCATACATAAACTAAATTGGCCGTCATTAGTGCCTTAGACCCATACAATCAGTGAGGAGACTCACCTCACACTGCTGAATTCCCGCGAACAAATCTCTAACTACTGGATGACAGATTCCCGAACTGTCAACATCAAAGTAACTACCAATTAATAATTGGGTTCCAATACATAACCATAAAGTCCATGCTTGGGGGTTAAAGGCTGCTCTACCCCTAACTTGGCTTGATTCAAGCCCGAGACCCAATCTAAAGGCCCAAAAGTCCAACTATGGCTCAAAGCCCAATATATGGCCCAATTTTCAAATTGCGCCCAGACCTTTACATGGTCTCACTCTAACGCCCAACCATTCATTCCAGTTCAACATTTAACATTCTATTGGCCCAATATCATATAATCATTAAGGCCCAAACTATGGGTTATCTATGGCCCAATTTTCCAAATTGGGTCCAAACCGTTTACATGGGCC